GCTGTTGTTCAAGTTGGTGAGACAGTCAAGTATGGATGGTTCCCTTGCTCAAGTCGGTGGGGGATTTCATTCGTGGATGGTTCTGCTGTATTTTTAAGACTCTATATTTTCAATATATCATCTCAATTAATGACAAAAAAGACGTCTTGAAAGTTTGTTTTTTTGGTTTTTTTTAGTGTAATTTTCTTTTCAAGGTTCAGCCTACTGAGTCACCCTAACTCCACCGACTATATCAGTTCACATCCAGTTACATAAAAAGACTGATTAAACAAACAGATAAGAAAATATGAATACTTAAGCCTCCAATAATGTATCAGCGTTTAGTCTGATAAAATGGACGTATAGCATTCTTTAGATAAATGCCGATTTTACACATGACGTATGCCCCTTTGCTATATGGTTTAAATGGCAAGCGATTTTCTGGTTGAACATTCTAAGATATTCCCATAAAAATGATTTATCGATTTTTTAGAAAGAAAAAAATGTATGGTCAAATTATATCTCTGAATGCGAGTTTATGTGCTTTCGGCACGAAGAACTATAAAGCTTGCCAAAAAAACACGAACAAGGAGGTATTCTCTAACTGTTTTCTAAGTCCCAATGCGCCACTAACTGTTTATCTTATTAGACTGTCGTGTGCTGGTTTCCTCTACATTTATCTCATGATATTTTGATGTTAAAACTAGCGTATTTGCAGAGAGTCTGTGGCATAAACCGGAAACGGAATTCCCGACCACGCACGCACTGACTGCTGTAACGTTAAGAGTGCTTGGTGTGCTGGCTGGCGGGCTCAAGTTCGGTTCCTTGTTGAGGGGGAAACTTGAGTTTATTTCGGAATTATCTTCTCGTTGAGTGTTTGCGAATAGAATAGAATAAAGAATGCTTAAAGAAATGCATTCGGACAGTTGACATATATATTATAGACTGACAGCTGAAATTGTTTGTCATTCTTTAAAGATAGGACATTATTCATCTGAGGAAAAAAAACACCCTTAAAAAGCAACAATAACATTATGATTTAATATTGTTTATTTTCCAAACCTGACGTCGAAAACTTTCACAGAAAATAATGAAAGCAGGTATACAATATGAGAAACTCCTTTTCACTCAGGCTAGAGATGACATGCAGTTTTGTGATTTTGCGTTTGTTTTGATTTGTGTTTTCCCTTCACACAAAAACATTCACAATCCTTATTCTCGACCCAGAACATGTGATACATTTGTTCCAAAGCAACCGGCCTCAAAAATAAGAAATCGTCATTTTTATAACCATATAATACCGGTAGGTCGTTTGTGAGTCGTATTAAACGGTCTAACATTGTCGATGTTTATATCAGCCGATCTCTATTATCTGGTTATTGCTGGGACAAAGATCTGTCAGTATATGTTCGATATAGACATATATCTACATCTCCCCCTTCTTCAACTAAGCAACGCAGTGGGAAAAATCTCGGCGGATTGATCCTTGTTTCAAATATGGCGCCGTTCACGCTTCAGCGAGATAACAGTTCGAAGACAACCAATGCTTGGTTCATTCACCTTCCATATTCGGGATCCATCATTTCTAATTATACAACAAAAGAATGCTAACAAACTTGTTATTCCATAGATGCACATTCAAATGTCTTTGACGGTTAAGTAAACGATGGCGGCTTCGTTCTGGAACATTCAACCGCGTCACTAACAGAGCAGTGTGTCACTGCTCGTGCATAACGACCATTGTAGTCAGTAGCCAGAACTCCCATTAGGAACTCATCGTTTTTTATCCATTGATCAAATGAAAGAATTGAAACAAGAAAGTTCCGAAGATTTTAGAGACATTTCACGCTAAAGTAGAATGACGTCATTATTCAGTCCTCGACGGCATCTTGTCCGTCATTGTCGTTCGGCCCAAGTTTTCGGGAACAAAATTGCACATTAGTACGGGATGAATAGAATCTTTCACCTTCTGAGGGTGAGACAGGGTAATCTCAACCCGAGGGGTAAGATTCTTAAGTTGTCAAACACGAGGCTTGCCGAGTGTGTGACAGCTTAAGAATCTTAAGAATCTTATGTATTTTATATAGACGTTACATCAATGCAAGACAATGTTGATGTGATGCGACTGAATTGGCGACGTGACGTCATGGTATTGTTGCTATGACGTCATAAAATTGTTGAGAACGTGCAAAGAACACGTGTAGCTTGTCTCAACCCTAGGGTGAGATAAGAAAATCGCACACCGGTGAAATGGTGGATATCCCTGTCCAGGGTAAGAAGAGAAAATGATATGTAAGGTTATCCAGAAAACATGATATGAATTGTTGTAGGTTTGTAATAGAAAGTAATACCACATACATGTGTTCACCTGGCTTCTCAGACCGCACTTGTCTAATTATTGCACGAATTGATAAATTTCACTCGGTCTAAAACCCTCGTGAAATATATCCATACATGAACGTGCTTTGCCCTCGTGTAATCTGAGGCGTTAGATAAACACATACAGAGTGACGTTTCGTAATGCAGCCCGTTCAGATGGTAGTCGCACGGTTTCCCTGACCACTGTACATAGCACTCTACTGGTTTCCCTAACCTCGTTAACGAAATCTGCGATGGAATGCTACCATGTACCAACATTAGTATTTAAAGGAAACTATTCTCTATACAATATCAACGTTACAGGAATTTCAGATTATTTTTTTTATTCCCAATGTACCTGTTACTGAAACAGGTTTAAATCTAAATGTCGACCAATCAGAACTCAGCCTGTGACACCCATCTCTCCTAATTAGAAAATAAATGTCGCATCATTTTTCGTCGTGACGTTATGTACACCTTCATATACACAGTACAAAATATCGACCAATCAGGACCCAGTCAAAGGCGGTCATTTGTAGTCAATTGAAAAAGAAAATGAACGCCTGTGAAGTAGTGTTGGTACTGACAGTATAGATATGGAAGCACGTAAGCCAAATTTTTGAGAGTTTGGATAATGCATACATTTTGACCAATCAGACTTCACCTCTCTACATGCCCCTCAGTTTACCTGGGAAGCTTCAATAATGTTTTCAGAGTAGTTTCTATGAAACGTGTCGGGCAAAGTTCGGCGGATCGGAAACAATATGTCCCCTTATTTCGCCCAGGGGACTTCAGAAGAATAAATAGAGCCCTAAAATAACTTGAAGGACTTAATAAATAAGAAACGCAGCAAAAACGGTACGTCCTGAAACCCGTTAAGGGAATGAAACAAGTATATGAATTAGTACAAAATATAAAAACAACCACAATTAATATTTTGCCAGAAATCTGGGAACTACACTGTTATCATGCGGGAAATGTACATTGTATAAATAAGCTTAAATATGACAACGGCTAATATGCCTACTCCCAACACGGTGTCTCACTCGGGTGAGAAATGCAGAGTTGAGAAATCGTGGCGTAACAGCCCACAATAAGTAACTACGTTTAATATTTAACGAGTAACTGCCAGATTCGTGCGATGAAAAATTATGTAATAAATGTTGTTATATTGTAATATGCAATACAATAAATAATGAAACAATATGTGACTATGTTTGAATATAATTATAATGCAATTCAAATGTATTTGTTGGTTGACTCTCTGTTACAAACGATACGTTTATCGTATACCTGAATTGAATATATGTAATGTGAAAGAAATATTTTGAATCTTGCGAATGTACACGAGAAGGCAAAGGTAAAACCTGAAACCCCTGTATTTGAATGTATACTCGTCCTATAAGACAAAAATAGTATAATATAAATATAATATAAACTAGTTTTAAACTTTATTTAGTTGACAACAATTATGAAACAAAACATTACAACTTATATTAATCCCTCTTTTTGACCCGTATGTTAACGTTTTGTCTGCCGTGTCTCCCTAGACAAAAACTTAATATATGACTGTTTGACCCTTCTTGTACGAGGTGGTTCTCTCGCAATAAAAAAAGACTTGCGTCACGCAGTGATGTGGTGGGAGTAAACCGGAGTACCCGGAGAAAACCCACGTGAACGGGTAGGTGAATCCCTACCTTTCCACGTCCGATTGGGGAATCGAACCCGGCCGCCTTTGAGAAAGGCGATTGCGATATCCACTGCGCCACCTAACCATGTACACAGATCGTTGGAATGGGAGTTTAAAGAGCACAAAGAACAATGAGATTGTCTAATATATAACACTAATCACTGTTTATAAAATTTCTATTGTTCAAATGTTACTTAGTCTTTTTAATAACCTAACAAGGCAAAAAATGGAAAGAAGAAAAAGACACTTTAATTGCCAAAATTTAGCGGTAACCCATCTATTAAGGAAGTATGTTCATGTAGATTGGTCATTTCGTACTGCAGTTCAACTTAACGAATAAGGTCTGCATACAGTGTGATTCCAGAACTTACTTTTTACCAGATTCAAAAACACGTAGAAAGTCGCGCATAAGATTTATCATTATAATGTTAAAAAAATTCTATGGTCGGCTTCAACTGATATTTTAGTCAATTTTCTTTCACGTCCGGGTTCGTTTCATGCGGGTCTTGAGTTCAGCTTATCTAACATCAGGTGTGATTCAACCAATCAAAATATAAAACAGATATGTCACAACTCTGTACGTGACATAATACATACAACAGAAAAAAATGAACGATAAAAACATTTGTGGTTTTTTTTTTTTTTTTTTTTTTTTTTTTTTACACCAAACTACGTATATACTTTGCCTGAAGTGCAGCTGTACTTATGAAATAGTTCGACATCGGTATTTGCACCTGTAGATATTCAGTAATGTATACACATGTACATTTTACCTGTATATGTATACGGAATGGGTTTCTATGTAATACATTTATAAGCGAAACCACTTTAAACGTGTGTGTATCCTAGAGACGCAATTATAAAGAGCAATACACCCGATTATAACATCTTATCATTCTCAAATCGGTCGAGTTGTTGTGTAATACAGAAATACCACATCAGAATAGTTAAGGAAACACTTCAGTAAACTTACCGTACGCTAGAGTAATCCTCGATCCCTCCACTTCCAACACAACAGATGTTGATCGTCCAGTAATGCTAGACGAAAGTAATCGATAAATTTCTCATGCGTCACACAATTTCAAGGATGTATTCACACAAAAATTCTTCGACAAAACTCGTGCCTTAAGCAAACAGACCCACATATAGTATGCATATGAAATCCGTATCTGATATAAGAGATCCGGGTAGGCCTCGATCCCACTGCCACAGCCAACACTGCAGAACCTCTGGGAGAGAGTGAACGAATATGCTATTTAACAGCTTGTACCTACTGTATTGAATATGTAATGACTTGCAAACAGTTTTATGAATCCATAAACACAGGGCGTGTGCATGTGTATCAGTGGCCGCATGGGAGACGCGGTGCTGTTGTACTGTGTATGCAAGATTCACATTCGCGTCAACTCTCATATATCGATAAGTACTGATAGCCTAACTGTCTGTATTCGGTGACGATGAGAGGGCCAACAACCTGTATATAGAGGTCAGGTTTATCGGGTCACTGTATACTGTATCGTAAAGAAAGATGGTTTGTGTATACAGGTTGTAGACAGATGAAATAATACAGCTTTGTGTACTAAGAGTCTGAAAGAAAGCTGGCCTGTGTATCAAGGACAAAGTGTCTGGTCGTTATAGACAGATGTAATAACAGCTTTTTATACTGTGTAGGGGACAGGGCTGGCCTGTGTATCAAGGACAAAGTGTCTGGTCGTTATAGGCAGACGTAATATAAAGCTTTTTATACTGTGTAGGAGACAAAGCTGGTCTGTGTATCAAGGACAAAGGGTCTGGTCGTTATAGGCAGACGTAATATACAGCTTTTTATACTGTGTAGGAGACAAAGCTGGCCTGTGTATCAAGGACAAAGTGTCCGGTCGTTATAGACAGATGTAATATAGAGCTTTTTATACTGTGTAGGAGACAAAGCTGGCCTTTGTATCAAGGACAAAGTGTCTGGTCGTTATAGACAGATGTAATATACAGCTTTTTATACTGTGTGGGAGACAAAGCTGGCCTGTGTATCAAGGACAAAGAGTCTGGTCGTTATAGACAGATGACTATACAGCTTTGTGTACTAAGTGTCTGAGAGAAAGCTGGCCTGTGTATCAAGGACAAAGTGTCCGGTCGTTATAGACAGATGACATATACAGTTTTCTATACTGTGTAGAAGACAAAGCTGGCCTGTGTATCAGGACAAAGTGTCTGGTTGTTATAGACAGATGTAATATACAGCTTTTTATACTGTGTGGGAGACAAAGCTGGCCTGTGCATCAGGGCACATTGTCTGTTTGTTGAAGACAGGTGTACTATACACCTTTATATTTTGTCTCATTCGGAAAGCTGATATGTGTATGATTTATATATCATTGGTCGCTTCAGACAGGTGTACTATACAGCCATATATATTTTGTCGACGAGAAAGCTGGCTGTGTATGACAGTTATATCAATGGTCAGCTTCAGACAGGTGTAATATACAGCCATATATATTGTGTCGACGAGACAGCTGATATGTGTATGATTTATATAGCATTGGTTGCTTCAGACAGGTGTACTATACAGCCATATATATTGTGTCGGCGAGAAAGCTGGATGTGTATGACAGTTATATCAATGGTCGCTGCAGACAGGTGTAATATACAGCTGTATATATTGTGTCGGCGAGAAAGCTGATATGTGAATGATGGATATATCAATGGTCGCTTCAGACACGTATAATATACAGCCATATATATTTTGTCGATGAGAAAGCTGGCTGTGTATGCCAGTTATATCAATGGTCAGCTTCAGACAGCTGTAATATACAGCCATATAGATTGTGTCGGCGAGAAAGCTGATATGTGAATGATGGATATATCAATGGTCGCTTCACACAGGTGTAATATATAGTTATATATATTGTGTCGACGAGAAAGCTGGTTGTGTATGACAGTTATATCTTTTTATACTGTGTAGGAGACAAAGCTGGCCTGTGCATCAGGGCACATTGTCTGTTTGTTGAAGACAGGTGTACTATACACCTTTATATTTTGTCTCATTCGGAAAGCTGATATGTGTATGATTTATATATCATTGGTCGCTTCAGACAGGTGTAATGTACAGCCATATATATGTTGTCGACGAGAAAGCTGGCTGGGGATGACAGTTATATCAATGGTCTCTTCAGACAGGTGTAATATACAGCTGTATAAATTGTGTCGGCGAGAAAGCTTGCTATGTATGACATTTATATCAATGGTCGCTTCACACAGGTTTAATATATAGTTATATATATTGTGTCGGCGAGAAAACTGGCTGTGTATGACATTTATATCAATGGTCGCTTCACACAGGTGTAATATATAGTTATATATATTGTGTCGACGATAAAGCTGGCTGCGTATGACAGTTATATCAATGGTCGCTGCAGACAGGTGTAATATACAGTTATATATATTGTGTGGGCGAGAAAGCTGATATGTGAATGATGGATATATCAATGGTCGCTTCACACAGGTGTAATATACAGTTATATATATTGTGTCGACGAGAAAGCTGGCTGTGGATGACAGTTATATCAATGGTCGCTTCAGACAGGTGTAATATACAGCTGTATATATTGTGTCGGCGAGAAAGCTGGCTATGTATGACATTTATATCAATGGTCGCTTCAGACAGGTGTAATATACAGTTATATATATTGTGTCGACGAGGAAGCTGGCTGTGTATGACAGTTATATCAATGGTCGCTCAGACAGGTGTAATATACAGCCATATATATTGTGTCGGCGAGAAAGCTGGCTGTGTATGAAGATTATATCAATGGTCGCTTCAGACAGGTGTAATATACAGCTGTATATATTGTGTCGGCGAGAAAGCTGATATGTGAATGATGGATATATCAATGGTCGCTTCAGACAGGTGTACTATACAGCTATATATATTGTGTCGTCGAGAAAGCTGGTCTGTGTATAGAGGTTATAGCAATGATCGTTTTAGAGAGGTGTACGTAATACACAGCCATATGAACATTGTGTCGAAGCTAAAGCTGGCCTGCATAATGTCATTTGTCGCTTTAAACAGGTGTAATATAAAGTTTTATATAATGTGATGAAAGCTGGCCTGTGTATGAAGGTAATGTCATAGTCGTTTTAGACAGAAGTACTTAATATAACAGCTATATATATTGTGTCTGAGAGAAAGCTCGCCTGTGTATAGAGGTTATATCAACGGTCGCTTCAGACAGGTGTAATATACAGCTACATATATATAATGTGTCGTAAAGAAATTTTGCCTCTGTATACAGATCCCATCGTCTGGTCGTTGTGAACAGTTTAGATATTCAGCAATATATATACTCTTTTGAAAGGAAGCTTGCGTACGTCTGGTCGCAGTAGACAGATGTACATGTAGTATAAACAGTTAATTAACCTATGTGGGTCTTATTTTTTTAGGACTCTGGAAACAGGTGGTCCTTAAAAGCAGGTTTAATATACAGTTACACAGGAAAGTCGAACTGTTCATTAAAAATCTCGTGTTGTAGCTATAGACAGGTTTTATAAACGGTTACACTGTGGTGAGGAAATAACCTTAACTTGAGTTAAGCGGTCACTTTGTATGGTAGAGATAATCGTAGGGCTAACAGTTCGACTGTGGATTAAGGAGTGACACAAACCCGTTTATGTGAACATTGACCTGCGTTTAACGGTCACTATGTTTGGTCGTTACAAACCAATCTGATTCTACTACCGGACCAGTGACTTGTTTCCATACACAGTTGTCTATAGTTTAGTCCGAGCATCCTCTTACCCTTCCAGCAAGCCGGATAGACAAACAGGCGTCTAACATCTATTTCAGTTGCGTTATTGAATCGCCTTTTTTTTTACTCAATGAATATCCAACGTATTTTTTCAAGTTATACCTTATCAGTCTCCATTTTAATCAGATCGTTGAAATGCTATCGAGTTTGAAACACATATCAGAAACAAATAGGTGTCACCAATTTCATTTACACACAATTGTCGCGAATGTTTATATTACACAATTGTACAAAATAAGGACGAACTGAGTTTCTAACATTCATGCCGGAATAAACACATTTTAATAACATCTATATTGCATAAAGCCTGCCAGGGTTTCACATTAATTAAATGTTGACGTGACCGATTTACGTTTTAAAGCCCGACCGTCTGGTGGGGTTTTTGCATTATTTATTTTATTTATTTTCGAACCATAGAGCTACGATATCCATAGTGTAAAAAAATCCGATGTTAGCGTCCGATAATGAAATAAAAGAAAACAAATAAAACCATCGGGCCTAGAAGCTATACGGCTCACGCAGCATCGTTTATTCCGGCATGAACGTGAAAACAAACCAAAACAAAACTTATGTCTATGTTAGATGATCAAAATATCGTTTGTACAAACATGTTGTAATTTCANGAGTCCGTATAAATGCGGATATGCCAAGCGAGATAACTCCAGTGAATATCTTGAAGCGGAGTAGCCATTGAGAAATACGAAGCGCTGGTCATAAATATCCGATGCAGCAGAAGATCGTATCGCACCTGGCTAAAAATCGCTACGATCGCAACACGATTTCTCAACAGGAAACAGATTGGCAAGGGTGACATTTTGCTCACCCGGCACGCTTTGCATGTATAACCCAAGCCCTTTTCCTCCGTCCCTCTGTGGGAAGAAGACAAATCAATACGTAGGCCTAGTCCATTGTCACACTGAGGGGTTTATTCAATGGAATTTTGTCAGTGATGTTTTGTCTTTAACCTCGATTTCTACGGGGACAGTCTGTGATGTAGTAATATATTTCAAGTCTTTTATCTTAAACTAGTCTTATACATTAGAACAAAACAGTTTTTTATAAGACACGTTTCTAGGTTTCTCTTTGCAGTTTGCGTCTACCCCAAAAAGTTAATACATGTATAAACCTTTGTTTGTATCAAGATATTTATGCATAGGAGTTCGAGTCCCGGACAGGACGCAAGCTTTTGAATTGTCTGCCATTGTTATGTGAGTTTCGTTATTTGATATCAAAGCTATACAACACGAGTGTGTTAGATATATCACACTCGCTCAAATAACAAAAAGCATCACTAACACGTCACTCGCGTAAGAAATAATACAGAGGTGAGAAATCGTGTTGCAAACGCAGCAATTCAGCACGATTTCTCACCAGGCATTAGTTTTCAATGACGGATAGTAACAAAAATATCTTTTTAACATGTTTCTATAGTCATAATGGATGTCGATTTACCAGGGAGACCGAGAAAAACACACTTCTCAATTCCAAACCTCGATAAAATACCTCAACAGATTTAAATCATAATCTAAAAAACTACATTATACGTACATGTGCTGTTTTGTAATAAATATAAAACAGTTG